TAGCTGCTTCACGGTCGCCCATTTTGGTTGAGTACGTGGAGAGATAACACGTGTTTTGTGTGGGAGTGCTGAGATTTGTGAGTGATCAACATCCCCGGGTGATCAACATCCCGGTCAGCTAGCTTACGTTCACTGTCGGAACTGACACTATCTGAGCTACTGTCCTCGCTGCGATCGCGACGTCTACTTTGTTTACTAGCCCTATGGCCGCGATCCGTATCGTTTCTTAGGCCTTCTCGCTTTGCGATCATTGCAAACATGTCAGCATACTGATCTTCGCCCTCTCTGAAGACCTCGGCCAGGTAGTCGTCAAAATGGTTGCTAGTCTTAGCTACCTGCTTGAAATGACTAGCTTCAAGCTTTGGCCGTGTCGATTTGCTGTTTGTGTTGTCGTGGAAGTCCCAGTTCGCCAAAGCCAGAGCTGTCTGGAATGCGTTCTTGATCTGCCGTCCGTTCCAACGTCGCGATGTCTTCTTCTCGTTAGCCTTCCAGTGTTGCTTGTAAAACTTCTTGATTCCTGCTTCATCGATTTCGATGTCGACGTCGTTAGCCTCTTTGATGCGTCTAAGATTCATCTCCCAAATCTCGGAGGTCTCTTCCTTGCCCAATTTTGGATAGTAGAGGCTAACGTGGATACGTGAGCGAAATGCTTCATCAAATGAGCCAACGCGATTGGTGGTAAGCATCAGCACTCCAGAGTAGTACTCAAGGACCCTGAGGAATACTATTCCTTCCATTAGCGGTGACATCATTGCTACTGATCATAGTGTCCTTACCGGAAACAAGTGCGTTTCGCTTGAGCTGATCTTCAGATCGTCTCGCTAGGAACACGTCGGCCTCATCCAGAAGAAGTACGCATCCCCACTGGGATGCAAGTCTGAAGTACTCTTCAAGGCGCATCTCGACCGTGTTCGCATCAACTCCAAGATCGCCACAAGTGATGGGAAACAATGGCCTTCCCAGATGAAACGCGACACATTCGGCCGTGGAAGTCTTACCCACTCCGGGCACACCGTGCAGCAAGATGATTACACCTTTTCCCTTACCACGAACTAGATCCATTGACATGTCATCCGAGTTCCCGAAGGTGCTCGAAGTATCAACTGTTGGAGTTGTTGATGTGGGTCGAAATTGCCTTGTCTGGTTGCTGATGAGAGCTCTGAGCAGCTTCTTATGAGCAAGAGGTAGAACCAAGTCATCGAATGACTTGTTAGAATTCTGGAGCTTGTTCGAGTCGACTTCGTGATCCAGTACATGTTCAACGTTGAACGCATGCCATCTGCGCTCCTGCAGGGCGTACCCGTACATCCGCGGTGTCAACAGGGCATAATGCTGATCTGTCAATTCATCCTTGGTTGCATACCTCAGAAGTGCAGTCGAGCGAATAAACGAGAGCCTTGCGGTAGTGTCCAGCTCTTGGTCCACATGGATGTCGGTACACTTGGAACAGTCAGTAACCCCGCATGGGGTTAGCTCTATCTCTGTTGCGGTCATGATAGTAGCTTTGTCAATGACACCACCGCCAAACTTCAGATCGTAACGTGGTTTGCTTTCACAATATTGGATTCCCGCTTTTTGGTCCAGGATAATCTCACTATTGACCTGTATGGAGTAAGCACAGTAATCTACGTATGGCTAGGTACGAACTCACCTCTTTTCTTTGGGTGATTTCAACAGCTGCCTCGAATGGTGTTTTCTCTACCTTCTCTTCCAAGGTGAGTCCTTTGTAGAGTTTTGAAACGCCGCCTCGTAAGCTTGCATACAGTTTCCCACGCTCGACGAGCGATGCGTAGTCACTCGGTGTCTCTTGACTGAATCTAATTGGGAAAAGTTCCAAAGACTTGATCGCCTTCAAACCACTGTAGTCCTGCAGCGCGACACATTTTGCCCGCGGTCCATACTTCGTACCGTCGTAGTCAATATAGACACAATCAAGAACAAATGGTGTGACACCCGCGGATACTGTAAGCATTTCACCATCGATACTCCATACTCCAGCAGGTTCCCCATTGGCTGCAGTTGGGTATAAATGCTCATGCGAAGCTCGTCCACCTGTGACATGAAGCACACAGTACGCTTGCTGTGGTCCCGGGAGCACAGCAGGATTTGAAATGACTATGTCTCCCGGCTTGTATAGATGCCACAAATTCTTGTAAGCGATACCTCTTTGATCCTTATCTCCATCTTGAAGTTGACGCCTCAGTTCAAAGATTGCGCGCAGATCCGTGTCCATGACTTCAATGAGGCAACCGAGAAGGTCTCTCTCAATACGCTTTTGTTCGAAGGAAGTCGATGACGTTGCATCGGCTGGTTCGACATCGTGGTTGTTGCCTTCGCCATTTTGGCCTTGGTTCTCAGTATCGTTTTGGTTTTTGGTATCGTCTTCTTTGTTGGTATCATCCTCTTTGTTGGTCTCGTCTTGTTTGTGTTCATCGGACGGGCCTAATTCGGGATTTAGTGTGTGTCCTATAAAGCTCACGCAACCTGGACTCACTATATGATGAATCTGCATCAGACGATTGCGTCTCATTTTGCCTGTTATCTTCTACAGATGCAGGGTCGATACTCTTTTCATCCACCACAGCTTTCTCAGACTCACATTCGATAGTGCGTCGTTCAAATGCTTTCCTGATTGCAGACTCGTAAGTAACGATAGCCTTGAAAGGAGCGATGAAGATCTTTTGCTCGTCCTGCAAATCGAACTCAACCTCTGACTTAATGACTTGAGCCAGTGTTTTCGAGTTGATGGCGATGTGAGTTGGAATGGCATCTTGTCGAGGCACTCGCAGCGCACTCGTCTCGCTGTCTGCTTGCTTAGACTGCTTGGCGATATCATGCATATCAGCATCTTCATAGCAGACGACGATGGCGGCAACGTTCTTGGGTTGGGTCATACTAGGTTTTATCTTCCGAAATTCCTTGTATGTCATGCGGCAGATTTTTGCCTCGCATTCTGCACTTTGATCTGGTTCTTCATCGGTGACGGACTGAGCGGGCTCGGGTTTAGGTACCGCTTGTTGGACGCTGAACGATATGTCAGTCCGTAACGGCACGTTGAGAAGTGTAGAACTCACTCTCCACTTTTGAGCTCTTTGAGCTCGTTCTCAACTTGCTCCAAGCGTTTCACGAGGGATTTGACATAATCATCCTCGCTCGCATCGCTGATGGCACCGCCCTCAGTGGAAAGGTCGCTCCCCTTCTCGGCTACAGAAGTTGATGTATTTAGTGGTGAGTTATTCGGTGTCTCAACTGAGGTGTCCATTGTGGCTGTCTCGTAACCGGAGTCAACGGAAGCGTCAGACGGTTTTGAGTTGTTAACGTCCGTTGCTTCAGATGCTTGCGATTCCATAGATGTATCCATGGCCACAGGGGACCGTGAGTTTAAACTTTAATCGAGGGTGACTCCGAAAGTTTAGTGAATCATTGGGACGGTGCGAATCTGGAAATAATGAATTGGATGCGATGCCTTTGCAATAAGAATATTAGGTTAAAATGCTGAGCATGAGCTTCTTTACACGTACGGACCGTGTCGCGGGGCAAGCACCCCAACCGTCTTACCACCCACACGTTTTATATGCATCAAACAGCATTTTGGCGCCCACTAGTCAGCACATATCCCATGTGTCAGACGGCGTTCCCTTGCAGCGTGAGGGGCGTTCTCAGCCTTGTTGGTGGGATGATCTGTGATAGGGTGCAAACGCGGGCGAACCACTGCTTTCCTGTGGCATTCCACAAGCGCGTAATGCGCGACACCAACATTTGCAGATCTGATATGATGCAGCGTCGTGCAGAAAGTGTCTAATGATGGTTCGCATAGTATTGCACGCGTGCTGAGACTACTGGCAGCTGCTTGGCGCCTTTCCGAATCTTCGAAACCGGCAGATTGAAGACTCATCCTTCCCAAGTATCTTACGGTTGCCAACACTACCGATCGAGGGATACGGACGAAGTCAGTACTTTCACATGTTGATTGTAAGATTTGGGGGGGCCGTTGGAGGTCGCTAGCATAAGGCGTGGCAACCCTGCAAGGTGAAAGGGGTGCAGGTGAAGATTAACTGGCTTGAAGCTGTTTGGTGGCACCTTCCTTTATCAATACGAGGAGCGTCGCATGGTGGGGGGCCAAATTGTCAGCCTTCCTGCACACAAGAACCACCAGCACGGACAACAAGGCAGAGCTGCGAGGAGATGCCGATGGAAGAACATCATCCTCCTCTCTCATCAGGGTCTCCTAACGTCGACTACCTTGACGACTCAATCTTCCGATCCAGCTGTGTTCTGTCCATCTATGCGAGAAGACCAGATGAGAAATGTCGGATCTTGCGACAACAAAGCCGCAAATCACAGTCCATGAGGCTGCACCGCTTTCTGTCCCTATGAAGGCAGCAGTCAAGACATACATCCTCAACGACTTGGAACTTGAGACTCACCCATGCTATGAGCCACTCCAAGAATTAGCACGTACAAACAATGGCAGACCGAGCGCAGTTTCCGCCTTGAGCGCCCCAGTAACGTTCACGGCTTCTGGGATCTCATCGAACGTGACAGACGAGGCCGAAGAGGAAGCAGATCTACCGCTGTAAGTTACAGAGCTATGCGATGACATAGTATGGTGCTTGTTTAACGGGTCGTACAGTGAGGAACTATACCACGATGCTGAGAAGGAATCACAACGCCTAAAGCAAGCGATGCAAGAGTACGAACTGGCCGACAGCAAAGGTCGTAAGAAAAGGTCGCTACCCAGTAGCGACTTGCATACTTGGCGTGATGTCTTAGCAGAGGTTGACGATGCGTCCAAACAGTACAACGAGCCGGACGGTGTATGGGGTAAAGTCAGGAAGGCCTTTAGGAAGTCTGGCGATAAGGCTGTGTCTAGTTCAGCGTGGCTGGTCTTGCTTCCAGCCAGTTCAGAATATTTCTCTATCCTGTGTGGAGGCCTAACGCTCATCATTGGAGTTAGTATCGCAGTGTAAGTGTAGTGGATCTGGAGGCTGACGAATCGAGCAGGCTGCATCACGATTGAAAGGCCTACGCGAAGACGTCATCAAGATCCTCGTCGAGATACCAACAATACTTTCTTGTGCGAACCGCGCGCAGAATGTTGTAAAGACATCGAAAGAACTTCGTCGAAGTGGCGCTGAAGTGTTCTTGGCCACCATCACATTGCTACAACACATACTCAGGTACTTCAAGACCAAAGTTTCAAGTAAGTAAATGTTACGTGATGTTGTGACACGAGGACTAAACGGAGTTACACTTGTAGGAAAAGCAGCGGGTGCCCTCCTCGGACAATCTGAATACGAGCAAGATTTAACTAATAGCATCGAGATGCTCAGATACCATTCATCACAGTTCGAGAAGATCACTCACATATGCTCTCTCGAGATGATTGAGCATACAAGAACCACTGTACAAGCTTTGCAGGCAGATATACGTAGGAACGATAGTGGTGTACATCAACATGTCAATCTTGCACGGACGGAAGCCTACGAGTTATTTAAGAGTCTTGAAGACCGGATCAATCAATCACTTCAAGTGGTTGTTACAATGATGGGCAGTAATCCGAGGCTGGAACAAGGCACACAAGATCTCCGTCCCCCGAAATTACCTATCAAAAGAGCTCGATCGGCTCCGACACTCAGAAGACTTCGTAACGAAGCTGAACGGAGCTGCCTAATTCTGCTCGACTACGAAGAAGCTGTGATCCAGTCCAACATTCAGAAGAACCTTCGTTGCGCATACCAACTACCCAAACCTGCGCAAGACCGCATTATCGCCATGATCCGACACCAGAAAGTCCTATCGTGGCTAGGAAATACCAAGTCTTCAGTTCTCTTCTTGAACGGACATCATAACTCACCGAGAGCCATGGCTCAGAGTCCAACATCATTCTTTTGCGCTAAATTGGCTTCCGCCATACAGTCTAGCAGCGAAGTGTCGAAAGAGCCGTCTTTGCATCCGCCCGTGAAGACTATCGCGATCTCTTTCTTTTCTGCTGAACACCTCGATCCCAAAGATCCTCATCAAGGCGCACAGGGCGTTGTCAGAAGTCTTATAGCCCAACTCTTGGTTTGCTATAACGAATTCGACAGCCATCTCATCAAACAGCTCCTCAAGTCCGATCTAGATCATCTCAAACCGTTGTGCGCCACCCTAGAGATCATGATCAACGAACTTCCCGAAGAAGTAGTGCTGACCTGCATTATCGATGCTATTACGATGCATGAGGACAGCGAGGCACGCTGCAAGAAGGTAGAGTATGTTCTCGACACTCTGATTGAGATTGCAGAATCAGACAATGAACGGAAATGTGTGTTCAAACTCTTGGTCACGTCGCCAAGGGTGTCCAGAAGGTATAGCGCGAGGACTGGCGGTAAGGCATGTGCGAGTGTGCTCACAATGCCGGAAAAGGTGGCTTCTCAAGGAGCTTTTACGATGACAAAGTGGGGCGACTATATGCAAGCTGGTCAAAATGGGTACACTGGTTGAAGACGATCTGTCGACGCATAGGTAAACAAACATTAGATTTTCAGGGGGAGAAGATGCTGACCCATGGTAGGACAGAGCTTCAACCCAACGGTCCGCGAATTGCATTCGTTATTGCGCCTTGACCGTGCTTCCTAAATTATGCCTTAACGATATCCTTGGAGCGGTCTTCCAAGCATTGCTGCACTGCCAGCTGTTACAATCCACCCTCACGAGCGAAAGGTAACATCGTCTTGTAATCTTCCATCGTGTTTAACTAAAGGCGTCTGTGTCCTAATGCGAATGTTTAGGCATATCCTCGGCATGATAGTTTTCTGGAGAGGACATTACTGTATCTATTTTGAGCAATGCGCCGGTCCAGGCCGTCGCCAATCAGAGCTCGGAAGTGGATCACGCGTTACCCCTTTCGGCCACTTGACATGAGCTTCGGGTAAATACCGTGGCAATCAACGTCATTTCCGCCCAAACCCTTCCAGAAGGTCATGGGTGGGGGGCGCGCCACAGCCGGTGCTGGCCGTTTCGGGGTCACAAAACTGGGGATACGATATTTAACCTCGTGTTCCGACTGGATGAAGTCATAGCGTTGCACTTTGGTCGTCGGCGCCGATTGTGGGCACTGTCCAGCCTCACTGAGGACAAGCTTTGATCATGAAATGATGTAGGACAAGGTGAGCAAATACGAGAAAAGATTTGGGTATATGAGAGATGGAATGCTGCTCTCTTTGGGCTTCCATCCAAACATCAACTCATCAACTCTACACTAATACTTCATCACTACAACTACCACTTCTACACTTCAACAACACCACCTTCAAATCATCAACATGAAGTTCACCGCCGCCGTCGCCGCTGCCTCCATGGCCGCCATCTCCTCCGCCCTTCCCCAGGCCTCTTCTCCCTTCCCTCGCCCTGAGGCCGGCGACGTTTTCCGTCTGATGTCTCTGCGCTCCGCCACTCCCATCCAGTACGGCAACGTCCAGGCCAAGGATGGCGGCCTCGTCATCAACTCGCCCGACGAGAACAACAAGACCTGCATCATCAACGGCGACCGCGACAACACCACCAGCGGCATCAACTACGCCTCATTCTCGCTCGACCAGGAGGACGGCAGCGTCTACATCTACACCTTCAACCCCCCTCTCCAGCTGTACGTCGACCGCAGCGGCATGGGCCAGGGCAACGTCCGCTACTCCACCGGTGTTCAGCCCATCGGCAAGAACCAAGAGCGCGGCCCCTTCAAGATCAACGATGATGGTGACCTCGTCTTCGCTGCTGGTGGTCTTACCGGCGATGTTGGCTTCCAGGCTTGCCCCGGCGCTGTTGGCGGAGGCTGGAAGATCTGGCTCTCTGGTGTTGACAAGCCTGCTGGTTCCGAGGGATGCACTCCCTTCACCATGAAGGCGCTCAAGGAGGACGAGCCCAAGAAGTGCCTCTACTCTTCTGCTCCTGCTTAGATGCCGAGCCTATAAAGATTCTTGGAGTGTACATGATGATCTCGAAGACGGGACTTTTGTTTTCTAATGTGTATATATCATAGCATTTGAGCGTCTGCATAGCCTTTTGTTTATCACTTGCTAGAACTGATAATGACAATATTTATCTTTACATTGCGTTCTTTTTTGCTGTACCTACTGACCTGTAACCAGTGTAAGGGGCTACCTACGCAGAGCTGCGCGTCCTACACTGAATTGTTTCGCAACTTCGCGGTACAAGAAAAAAAGCTGCGCCGCCTTCACACAATTCAATGGCTTCATTTGCAGCCTCAATGGGGTCTATATTGATGTAGTCATGTCGCGTTGAAGTTGTGAGGATGCATGTGTTCTGATGGTGGGGTGGTGAACCGGCTCATTGGGCAGGCACTCTACTAAGCCCGTCTTTTACCTTACCTCGTCTGTCCGCCATCCCCAATCTTAACATCACCCACCATCACCTGCTACCAAAAGATATTTCCCTCGAACCTTTCAGGGGGCGATGAGGACACGTTTGTTGCAAGTTTATCCATGTTTAAACTCGCGAAGTCGCTCTTTCGAAGGCAACCATGGCCCCAACTCAAATTCCCGACATCTGGTTTCGAAGTCGTCAGCGACGCGGTAACGTTTGAAGAAGAGCAGCTTGAGGAGTTCCACAGGGGCGTCTACTGTCCTGTCAATATAGGAGACGTTTTCGCGTCGAAGTACCAAGTGGTAGGTAAACTTGGTTTTGGTATTACGTCAACTGTTTGGCTGGCCCGTGATCTACAGCAAGTTCACGTTCGGCAATCACGCTATGTATACTAACAGCAAACCAGCCACCATGCCTACACGACCTTAAAAGTTTTCACAAGAGAGGGAATGGATGAGAATGAGTATAACATGTACAGTATCTTAAGCAAAGGCAATGCTTCGCATCCAGGATACAATCACGTCCGGACAGCCCTCGATTTGTTTACTATTCCCCGACAAGGTGGCGATCATAGATGTCTTGTCCAGAAACCAATGTGGGATAGTTTCAAGGATCTCCTGAACAGAAATCCCGCGCATTGCTTCACGGACGAGCTGCTAAGAGCTGGGTTGTCGCAATTGTTTCTCGCACTTGATTACCTTCACACAGAAGCCAAGATCATACATACAGGTGCGGCCTACGCAGGCCTTCCCATAATTCCATTGACAAGGATGTAGACATCAAAGCCGACAATATTCTCATAGAAATCGAGGATCAGGACATCTTGGAAGCCTTTGTTGACGCAGAAATGACATCTCCCTCGCCTCGAAAAGTCGTAGATGGCAAGCCAATCTACGCGACACGCCAGTTTGGATTGCCGAAAGAGTATGGTCGTGTTGTCCTTGGAGATTTCGGCTCTGCAGTCCGTGGCGACAAACCTCAGATCCATGATGCGCAACCGGATGTCTACCGATGTCCAGAGGTTATGTTGAAGACTAAATGGGGTTATCCAGCTGATATCTGGAACGTTGGAGCGATGGTATGTACCATCTCAAGCCTAAGGCGAAGTCAGACGTTGACCGAGGTATACAGATTTGGGACCTATATGAGGATAAACACCTCTTTTACGGCATTGATCCAATTGAAAAGCGATACCTGACCAGAGCTCATCTCGCAGAATTAGTTGCGATGCTCGGTCCACCACCGATGGATATGCTAGAGAGAGGAGCGCGGAGTAAGGAATTCTTCGATGGTGATGGTGAGACTGCGCTCCCGAAGTGACGTCTGAAGCTAACCGAAGAACTATTAGGGAATTGGATAGCCGAGATAAACATACTGCAAGGCTTGACGTTAGAGAGATCGGAAGACAATCTAGATGGAGAGAAGAAAGAAGATTTCTTGCGGTTCGTGAGGTGCATGTTGCAGTGGAGACCTGAGGATCGGTGGACCGCGAAGGAGTTGCTTGGGCATCCTTGGATAAAAGGGAACTTGTAAGTCGGGTTGAGCAAGTATCGAATGACTCGAAGATGAATGGTCTGACATTTTGGAAGGGATGATCGGGACGAGAGTGAGGGCATGGAGGTGGCGTTGCCTTGAAGCAAGATCTTCCTACACTCGATCATCAACTGGGCAGAAAACATAGTACCGAGGCCTAGCAATAAGTGAGAATTACGCTCCATGAAGTTGCCATGCCTGTCTCGATAGTGTGGGCGAAGTGCTTACACTAGCTCGAAAGCTTCTAGCACAATCCCACCTTTCTCTAACTCTTCTACACTCAACCTGGCACACCAATGATGTCGTTGTTGACGAAGTGGATGAATTGTACTACCACCTTCTTATACCCAGAAGCATCAGGGGCTGCTCGCAAAAGGAAGGCTCGTTCAACGGAATTCACGATATCATCCTGAAAGGTATTAATCTTAATGTCGTGCTGTTCCTGTGTAGATTTGGATCTGAGGTTAGAAGGCATGACGAGTTCGGAAAGTTTTGGGATAGGCAGATCGTGAATATGAAAAGTTCAGAGAAACTTTTTGGGAATTGACGAAAAGGCTGGGGAATAGGAGTGTTGAGAAATATAACCCTGGTTACGTTCGTTGAATATTCGTGTGAACCATGGGGACTGTGGACTTTGATTTCGGACTGCACCCTCGCTTCATGTCGAAAAACATTGCATCGCCTCTCATGACCGTCTTTGCGAGAACACCCTTTCTCGGACTCTCTTTCTCAATATTATTCTGGGGAAATCATGTTGGCATAAACGTCTCTAAATGCGTTGATTAATGTCTCGAAGTCTATTATAATTTCTCCTAACGAGTACCGAAACACGGCATCGCGCATTCCATGACTGAAGAACAAGACACGAAATACCACACAAGAACAAGTCGCAATATGCTCATGTGCGAGGTTAGCGTCGGGATACGATACCTAGGACCAAAATCTTGTCAAGAGGACATCCATGATAGTATTCCAAATCGCTTTTCCACCATACCATTGTTCTCTCAATACGGACTCTACGTCATGAAATAAGTATCTTCATCAAGCTGAGCGAAATCTGAAGTTACAGGCATTCGCTTCGAGGTGATCGTTACCTGCCTGGATATGTACGAGCATCAGTTGGCAGTCCGTCTCCTACATCAGAACATATACAGTCATGATGCTATAGCGATTGACCGGCCCGTTCCTGGGAATCGAATTGGCAATTCGTGATGCCAGGAGCAAGTGCTAGAGATACCGCGCACCAAGCCGACTTCGCTATCTGTATAGCGTTTAATCCATTTGTAATCCTACCGGCGGCGCCTCTGCTTTACGCAACGACGGCGGAGTCAGCGGTCGAGATTAAGGTCCCTTCGTTCTGCATTGCCTCCACAGTGTAAGAGCCGCAAGGATTACAGCAGGCACACCGACCCCAATTCCAATTTTTGCCTCAGTCGAAAGTCCCTCTTTTGGCTTATCTGCTGACGTTACATTCGTCGCTGTTGCTGTTTGCGAGGGTAGGTTTGTTGTTGATTTGCCGGTAGATGTGAGAACTCGTGTCTGCAACGAGGTTGGGATTGGACTGCTGTATGGTACATCTGTTGATGACGTCGTCGTGTCCGGAAGCGGCCCTGACTCTGACGATTGTAAGATCTCCGTCCCATTCTCGTTCAGATATACCCCAGAATAGCTGTTACAACACGCAGCATTGGAATCGCCGCAACAGAAACTGCCGTCATTACAGCGTGTGACGTGGGTGTATCCTGACTGACGACCCAGCATTCACCGTCAGTGACTCGCGGAAAAAGCTTCGGAAGATGAGACGGACCGCAAACGTCCCACAACGGACTGCATCCGCTCCCCTCGTCCCAGTTTTGACTTGTACATCCAATGACGAAGTACTGCCCTGTCCAGTAGTTGCTGTAACAGGCGCCCTGAATGCAGACGTCGTCTGCATAGCCATCAGTTCGATCGAGGTAGCAACACATGTTCGATTCGGGACAGGGCTGTGAGCCGGTGTCTTCGGCTCCATCCCCTATGTAGCAACTACTGTGGTTGGCAGATGCGCGAGCTAGCAGGAGGGCGAAAGTGATGAAAAGGTGGAGTGGTGGAGTGTGTTGCTGTATCATGTTGTCAGGAGAATGGAGTAGAAAGAAATAGCCGGACGGAAAAGTGCGTTCTCAGGTGTGGTGCCTACAGAGAAGTTGACAGTCATATGAACAACACGAAGAAGCATTCTACTGATACTTTGCGCGTGTACATGTACATGGTATCTCGCACACTGCGCCTCATTAGTTTGTGAGAACCTTCTCGACATGTGTGCGCATGAATTTTCCCTATAGCCGACAACACTGCTAAGTTGAGGCTGAGTTGTGTCACGTCGAACTGATGTGGCTGGTCGACGTGTGGTAATGTGGTGGCTTGCGACGGGCTGAGGACACGCGGGTTTCTGGCTCCCACTTTCCATCGCGCGCGTAGCTGTTGACTCTCCTCAACCTTCTTCTACCGCATCAACAGTCGCGACTCATCTCAACCCATCTCTTCTATCGCAAAGCATGATGCAGCATTTGCTCAAAGTAGCATCATCTGTCTTGAGAGAAGAGGGAAAGTTCCACGGCGGCCGCCCCCGTCGGTAAAGTGGGGAAGCTAAGTACACGGGGGATCACACAGCCACCACGCCAGGTCTACGCGTTATCAACGACAAAACGATAACCCGAATTTCTCTTAACATATGCGCGAGCATGGTCGCACCAAATCCAAGCTTATCGAGCCGTGAAACTTCATCAACTACAACTATCGCAAGGCCTCGTTATCTCAAGAGTAGGAATGATTTGAAGGTCCCCTATCGTTTTTGTCATCTACCCCGCCCACAAAGCCATAGAGGACTAACTCGCCCTGCTTCCACACCACAAGGGAACCGCAAGCGCATCCTTCTGCTCTTGCCCATCTGAGCCTTTTCATCTTTTTGCATTAACTAGTTGCGCACGCGCTCAGCATGATTGATGGTGCAATGCGCGAGTACTGCTACAACTAAAGAATGCTATAGCTTCTCCTCGGTTGAAGAAATCACGTCACCACCAGGATCGATGATGCGCTTCACGTCGAGGCGCGGGGAACAGATAGCTTAGACTGACATCCGATTTCGCACGCTCTCACAAAACAGAAGTCCATATATAACGCAGAAACACAGCCGCTGCCTATCGAATGAGCTGAACCATCTCTTGAAACCACGCCTTCACGCAACAGAAGCACACTGAGACGCATGCTCACAGGCTAGCTTATCTACGTTGAAGCGTGTTCACTGATCAATATCTCCATTACTTGATACCATCCAGAAGCAACTATGGCTACCGCAGCCACTGCCACTGTGACGCCTCCAGCGCTCGGCCCAGTCTTCAGCACTACACCCGCAGCCCAGCCACCACCAGGCCAGCCAGACATATCCTATCACCCCGATTGGAAGAAGTACCAAGTCCGTGTAGCCCATCGCAGTCAGAACGATGAACTCCCAAAAACCCTTCCAGATGGATTCCCCAAGGAGCTAAAGGGCGATCTAGTTTGGGAAGGAGAGTCTCTTGCCCAAAAATACGATTGGACCTACGTCTTCTCGGCCGATCAACTAGCGGAAATAGACAATGCAGTTACTCACTTCAAATGTAAGCTCCCTGCCTCACTGATCCCCTCCTTTTGGCGGATATGCTTTTGTTGCAACTGGTTGACGACTGGACCGAATAGCTCTCAAGCTTGGCTTTGGCTACATAGCGCAAGAAACGTTCCCTCTTCCTAATCTGCATGCAGAGTTGCGCCGTCTCTCCCATGAGCTACATTTTGGCCACGGCTTCTTTGTTCTCCGCGGTCTGGATGTCGATAAATACACACGCGAGGAGAACATCATCATCTACACTGGTATATCCTCGCATATTGCCTCTATCCGGGGCCGTCAGGACGCTTATCTAGACGACAAGCGTGCGGATGTCGTTATAGGACATATCAAGGATGTCAGATCTGGAGTTGGGGAGGGCGAGAACAAGAGTCAGCTCAAGATTGGTACTCCAGCGTACACGTCGGACAAGCAGGTCTTCCATACTGACTCGGGCGATATCGTCTCTCTCTTCGCCCTCTCAACGGCGGCAGAAGGAGGCGCTAGCCGTCTTGCCAGTACGTGGCGTGTTTACAATCACCTGGCTGCAACAAGACCCGACCTTATCCATACGTTGAGCCAAGACTGGGAAGCTGAGCTGTATGTTACCCCAAGTCTAAAACAGGCACAGTAAAGTTCAGAAGTCACTAATACATTCTCTCCAGCTTCACCAAGACCGTAAATGACAAAGAAAGATTCGAGAAGCGGCCTCTTCTCTATTACCAGCTTGCCAGCGTAGACGGCAAGACGCCAGAAAGGATCCTTCTTCAGTATGCTCGGCGCTATTATGTTGGTTTTGGGCAGCTTCAGCGCGGCAACCATCTGCCACCGATTACCGAAGCCCAAGCAGAGGCACTCGATGCCTTGCATTTCTTAGGCGAGCGTTTCAGTGTATCGACCAACTTCGAAAAGGGCGATATACAGTACGTCAACAACGTCGCCGTATTCCATGCGCGTGACGGCTTCACTGATAAAGGCGACAAAAAGTGAGTTCTCCAGAATATCAAAAGACTGCCGAGTACAACAAGATCAGATAACTGACTATATTGGGGATCATAGGAGACATCTACTACGACTGTGGCTGCGTGACCCTGAGAATGCATGGGAGACTCCAGTTCCGCTTGCCTCGAGATGGGACCGTGTATATGAAGGTGTGACACCCGAGCTGCAGGCTTTCCCGCTCGAATCGCACACTCGCAGCGAAAGCACCCCAAGTGCAAAGTGAGCGACTGGTCTTCTAGCCCATGTTCGAATTGATCTATAGCGGGAACGTTGGTCTTGACGCCACCAGGCTATGGTGATTCACGGGTATCATGCATGACCATCAAAGGATGACATCACAGCAGTCATCGCAAGTACTTAATTAAGTATCAGCTGTCGCAATACGATACTCGCAATTCCATATGATCAGACCTTCAGATAAAAAGCATAACTTCCAACACAAAGTACAGTTTAGAAGTAGGCTCCTCCAGCATAATGTCATGAGACGATCTATTTGTGGGTTGAGAACGACGGAACTGCACTCCATCTTTTTCACGACCTCGAGGTAACATGATTACGATTGATCTCACTCTACCAGGTTTGGTAAAAGCTAGAGTTTGGCTTCACGAATCATCTAAGTCTACAGCAAATTAGTCCTCTTACTTGCCAGAGCAAGCCACGTGATACCAACATGCGCTCCTATTACGGGTATTATGTGGAGCTCTGGCGTGCCAGAACAGCTAGTTAGCGTCAATGATGCAAGCGCGTCGATATATCGCGAAACACCCCACCAACACTTCATCCTGAGACCATTGCTCCAGTGCGCGCCGATAAGACTTGAGCAAGGCTTGATGTGCGATTCTCGGAGAGCAAGGGAGCACATTGCAAATTGTCAGAGCAGAAAGAGTTGCGGGCTTTGATGGTCTACGAGCCTTGGCTGCATCGTCCACCACTCCATCATGAGCGCTTACATGACGTGCTTCTAGGCATGTTCCACTTCTGGAAGGTGAGAGACTGTTCATGGCATGGATACTGCTTGTCACTCCCGTAATTGGCATTGCGATGGTGATTGTGCCATCACATAGGCTGGTCACGACGTGCGCATGGACAAAATGACAGGGCTGAGAAGGACTATACCCTCCACTGTTGTCGTCCTTAGATTCTTGCTATGGTGTATTAATATTATTCCCACAGCACGTCATTTTAGACAACCCGCGATGCGATATATGTAATGTCCCTCGCATTCTTGTTCATACTGTAGGATACACCATTGGGATCGAGAATAGTTGGCCACCTTGTATCACCCGAGCCGTATCGTCCTCCAGACCGAATCGCCAGACGATCCACACTATGGGCTTCCTATCCAAGATCGGACCGCAGACCACCACAAGCCAGGTGGCACCCGAAAGCGACAACTCGGATAGCGAACTCTCCGTTATCCATGACGGCAACTTGGCCTACGTCCATCAGACGGCTGGAAATGGCGCCTCCGGCTATCAGGAAGCTGTAGGGGCGCCTGTAGAGAAGCATTCACCTCTGGGCTACCACGTCAACTGGCTTACAGTCATCTTTCTCAACGTCAACCATATGGTTGGCACCGGCATCTTCTCTACGCCAGCTACAATTCTTCGGCTGACAGGCTCCGTGGGTTTGGCTCTGATCTACTGGGTTGTCGGGTTTATTCTAGCGGCTGCTGGCCTCGGTGTATACCTGGAGTTCACCAGCTTCTTCCCCAACCGAAGCGGCTCTGAGGTTGTGTGGCTCGAACAAAGCTTTCCAAGACCTAAGCACTTCTTCCCGATAACCTTTGCTGTTCAATCCGTCCTCCTGTCTTTCAGTAGCAGCAACGCTATCGTATTGTCCAACTATCTATGGCGGATCGCTGGGCGCGCACCAGACCCATGGGAACTCAAGGGTGTAGCTATCGCCGCGTACACATTCGCCGTCATCTGCGTGGTCGTACACAACAGATATTCCTTATGGACGATAAATGGAATCGGAGCTCTGAAGATACTGCTGCTTGTCTTCATCTCGATTTCAGGTTTTGTCATCCTTGGCGGTCATGCGCCCCGTGTAGAAAACCCTGGCATCAACTTCAGGGACGGCAACGCCATGAGCGGAACCACTTCCAGTGGATATAATCTCTCACAAGCCATGGTGAATATAAGCTTCGCCTTCTCTGGATGGCAGAATGCCTTCAGCATGGCCAACGAGATCAAGAGTCCTCTGCCTACTCTCAAGAAGAACGCTACCGCGTCGCTACTGATTGTCTTTACACTCTACTTTCTCTGCAACATCGCGTATTTCGCCACTGTTCCGAAGGACGTATTTATCGATTCGAGCGAGCTGGCAGCAGCTGTATTCTTTCGTACCGCTTTTGGATCGGCTGCCGAGTCAGCTCTCAACTTCTGTGTCTTGCTCAGTTCTTTTGGCAACCTACTCGCCGTCTTAGTCGGTCAGTCACGACAGATTCGCGAGATTGCTCGCCAAGGTGTACTTCCGTGGACGGAGTTCTGGGTATCGACGAAGCCTTTCGGTACACCACTTGGACCGTATCTCCTTAAATGGGTTTTCACCATCATTATGATTGTGGCACCTCCAGCAGGCGACGCATTTCAATTTGTCGTCTCGCTGAAGTCATATCCAGATGCCATATTCCACGTGGCTTTAGGCGCCGGCCTCATTTTCCTCCGCCGGCGTCGCGACCGGTCTGGTACTCCTCGATCAGACTTCAGGGCTTGGTGGGTTATCGTCGTCCTATATTTACTCTCACAGATCTATCTGCTTGTCATGCCATGGATTCCCCCGGTTGGTGGCATCTACGCTGGCACCGTTAGTTTTTTCTATGCTACTTACATGATCGTGGGTATCGCGGTCATCGGTGTCTGCGGTGCTTATTACTACGTGTGGATGGATGTCCTTCCACGTTGGGGCAACTATACCATCAGGTCGCAGGTGGTCAATGTGGATGACAATGGTGCCAACACGCATCGGCTGCTGCGTGTACCTAATGCTGAGGTGGCTGATTGGGATGCCAACCATGATGAGCTTGGTAGGGCGATACATTAAGGGCGGACTAGTAGATATGCAATTCTTTGTCAACTTCTCGTGCCTCGAGCACTTGCACGATAATTTCTCCGATGTAAAAAGTGACGGTTCATGAATAAAAGTGATGGTCATCACATCTGTATGATTACTGAGGGCAGCCTACTATCCCCCCGCCCCCGCCATCATCCCAGTCAACGCCTCCACCCGGACACCAAACACAAGCCTCACCATGATTGCAAAACTGCCCCCAACAACGACATCCAGTCATACTTTAGCAGGCATGGTAAAAGATCCGTATGGATGCGCTATCACAGGAAAAGAAAAATCCTAGCTGGTCAATGCAGCATGCCCCTGGGACCTGCAGCGGAGATGGAGGATGTATCTTGGAAGCAAAGTGGCTGGCACGCCAATGCACAGGCGCCCTCAATCCACGCTCGTGCCACCAATGTAGCGTCCATGCTTGAGTGGGGAAAGCGTAATTGTGGTAGGATTCGGGACATCCTGGAGCACCATAGAGTTAGGTGGAAGTTTCAAGTGCTTGTTTCAAGATAGGCTCCTGCCTGAAGGATCTCGGTTAGGGCTTTTGGCCCCCATAACAGGGTATTGATGCGCTTCTGGCCGTCACACCCTCCATAGCGCGAACCGTGCCATGTCTTGTTGCAACTCGTTATCAGCTGAGAAGGCTGCCAAAGTTTATTTATAAGGTTCGCAACCCAAAGGACATAGGCCGAGGCTATCAGATGTCATTACCTATTCTTCTCCAGCAGTCATGGCTCTGAGTTCAAGAGCCAAAACCAATTCACGAGGTTCCAAACTTATCGCCAGTAATGGAAACAAGAGAAAAAGAGACGGAACATCAGATATCCAGTCGAAACCGATATCCAAGAAAAGGACAGGATCGGATTCGGTACTTGCTGTTCCAAGCAAACAAACGGACTGCCAAAAGGCTCTTGAGGAGGCGAAGATCGTGAAAGAATTCCGCATCACGTTCCACCCACGGAAGTTCGACCCACAACGTCCGGGAAACGTTCCTGAGGAACATCAGACAAAATTCAGGCACATTCAGCAGCTGGGCCAGATCAGTTACGATTCGTATGCGCTACAACCTCGACCTGACACTGCCAACAAGCCATGGGAACTCGAGAATAAGCTGAGGGCTACACGGGTGAGCGCGAGGGCGATTCAAGCGAGAAATGAATATCAGAACGAGGATGGCTGGCGAACGAAGCTTGACAACCTTGTCTTTGAACGCTTTGAGATCGAAGTTGCGTGGTATGATACGATCTGAGTTTGATCTATATCATATCTCTTGTGCTAACAACAGGTAGCCAGGAGTGCCGCAAACGTCGGTGGCAATCCTTCGTCGAAGTCAATCCGGAAGAGAGCAACAGCCGAACAAAAAACCTTGCAGAGCGTCAGCATCGTCGTACAGTATGTGACTGTAAGCCATCGTCAAAGCAATATAGCATGTGAGTCGATAACTTTATCAAGCGACGAATCACAGCTAATCACGTTCCCAGTTTGAGCACAGGGCTGACCGACATGTTCACTACACGTATTGGCGAGCGAAGTGTCATACAAGACGATCCAGAGAACCACCGTAGAATAGAAATGCGGCCTGATCGAATCTATGGATTGAATACTACAGATACCATTCGAAATATTTTGGAGCAACCACATGTTTCTCACTTGAAAGAAGTGTCTGAGCTCGACGATGACCTACAAGGCAGATTGACCGTCAGCTGCAATCCAGATAGTGGTGGAGAAGTTTCGATATATCCTTTCTTGGTGATGGAGGCTAAGAGCCTCAAGAGCGGAACCACTTTTCCGGACATCGAGACACAAACGGCAGTACCTATACGAAATCATCTGTATCTGCAACTCAAGCTCCAAGACGACAAATTCAACAATATGCCGACACCAGGAGGTCCATTGACCTGGTTTCTTGCTTATGTTGGTGAGACGTGGAGGGTATACGGGTGTTACGTCACAAAGTCTAGCCCAGGCAATTCGCCCTGTTATGTAAGTGAATACGTGGGCTTTCCGATGCGTTGGTTAACACAGTAGCAGGAGATCGTTCGCTTGTGGCAAGGCGATATCACTGGCTACGACGAGGCACTTCAACTAGTTCTAATTATGGACTATATTGTTGATTGGGCGCGTGATATCTTCCGGCCCAGTATCATGAGACAACTGATGTCCGTAGTCGACAAGGGCGAACAGTCATCTTACACGATTGTCGATCAACCTGACATCCTCTCAATACACGATCCTGCGAACTCTCGGTACGGTGGCAGGCCTGTCCCTACCATTGCCGGAGCTGGGACATTCGAGGCGCCTGCTGAATCCGCCTTCGATGCAGTACACTCCACGATCAGCTCTTCTTTCGAGCCTCTTTTTGAGAGTACTGGAAAACATGTCGATATCAAGGTCTGGGAAAGCGCCAAGTACGAGTCACGAGTTCGAGGGCTTTTTATCACCGAACACGACTCCGCTGCCATGAAACACCTGACGACCTACGGTTATAAGAGATTGGAAACCGTTTACATGAGTCGCTGTTGGTTCCTCTTACCAAACAGCAAAGATATAAGGACCATTGAAGAGGCTTGGACCGGGAGTACACCTGCAGAGATTAAGGACGTGTCAGATCCCTCGGAGCAGAAAATCTTGATCTCGCTCTATGTGCAATTTCGTAACGATGAGTTCGGCGCCCCTATACGAGAGCTGACGTACCTTGCTTTCACTGGGTCCGTCGTTAAACAAATGCGGTACGAGAGAGATATAAACGGCATATTAGAGCGAGATGAGCTGGTTGCTTCACCTGAAGTACTCGGACTTAAGCTAAGCGAAGCCTGGACCTCGAGCCACAATAACTACTTCCAGCGTTACGCCAGCGGAGAGATTAGCGTACTTCGTGTCACTGCATCCGACCATGACAAAATGTCCGATAGTGTCAGCCTCAGCTTCCTCAACGACCGTGATACCACGAACTATGCAAGAAGACTGGATTCGTTCATCAAGAACATTTGCGAGCATCCACGAGCGAATCTCCATAAAGTATACGCGCCATGTTTTCGATACACCAAGGTCGTTCATTCGCTCACCGTGAAGCCTCACTGTATCTTGGACCCTACTCAAGCTTGTGTTTTCATCAACGCAAAAGCAATGCCTTCGGGAATTTGCATCTATGCCAAAAATGGAGCATCTGAAAAGACCAATCATGAATGGGTCATCAGGCATCTTGTGCAAATAGTAGTCGTCCTTTGGGACAGTCAATGGCCAGATACCAAAGGCTCCTTCTATATACGAAGGTATATGTTTGAATCACATTATATTGACAGTAAGATTCTATTGTGGATCGTGTCAGATCCTCAATGGGACTTGTACACTGCGATGAAGCCCTCTTTGACGATGCCTGGTACGGAACGAGTTCATGAACATCTGGCGTGGTTCCGTAAAGTGTTGCTCACACACAAGTGTGGAACAGGCACAATACGATCCAATGTCACTGGATGCGGTGCACACAGGGCAGGGTACAGAAACGTCCAACGTCACATTCAAGAGGCTTGCAAGAAATGTGATTACGATACAAGTTTCGTGGCCCCTAAATTTCCCTTCTGCGACGAAGACTTCATGCCAGGTGGCTTTGATGGAAATCTAAAGGAAAGCAGCGTCCATTAATGTCTCGATTGGAGTGTATATATTGCTTGAAGCAGCGTATGCTTGTTATTCATGACAGCCTTTACTTCTTACGTGTGGAAGTTCTGAATAAAGACTCACATGCTCCTGCTAGACATTTGCTCAGCGCATAGTAATCGCTCGTATATACTTCATGGAAATGTCATTTACTCCTCATCAATTTGAAGCCTTATTCCTGACAATGTTCTCATATTGTTGTACTTCTCCATCTTCCTCCTTTAGCATCTCTATCCTTCCAAGTCGATCCCTCTCTTCATTCACCACTGTCCTCTTCAACTGTAACTTTTCGAGGTACATGTCTTTCTCATGTTGCTCTCTTATCGATCTCAACATCTGACTAACCATTTGGTGAAGACAAGTAGATATAGAACCTTTCATCACGTGGTCGTGCCTTGAGCACATATACAACAGTCACTTCGATAGTCTTCATATACATTTGCGGCCTTAAATAGGGATCTTCTAGATTGAGAGCAGCTATACTCATCATACTATACTTGGTAGGTGTTGAGCTCCTCTAGTGTGCACGGGACGGGTTGAAATGGCACCATGATATGATGAATCAAACAGCCATTTTCTTCCAAGAATCCCGTGCGGAGACGCGTTCCCACCAAGCTTGTACATTGTGGCGGGTTCCAAACAGATCACCCTCCTGAACTTCGAAGAGCTTTCCGACGAGTGGCATATAGAATATATCGATCAAAGAAAATACATTGCCACCCATGTAGTCCTGCTTTGCAAGAATATTGTTGAACACGTCAAGGTTTTCAGAGAGAGCGTTCCTCGCTTTCTCAAGAGCGGGCTCTTCAGTGGGCTGACCGAACATACTGTACGAATTTCGTCAACTCTGTCATAAAATCCGTGCATAGGCAACTTACGGTCGCACCATCTTCTGGTAAAATATCTCCTGGGCGAATGGGTCGAAGTTATTTTGTTCCACAGACGCCCATTGCTCAAAGTGGGCCCAGGCTTTCTTGTCGTCGAAGGAGGGTAGAAGAGCGGTACCCTGCTCGGCGTACTCGCTGGCTAGGAAACGCGATATCGCGCGAGATTCTACCCGTAACAGATGAGATCATGTGGAAAACGAAGCGCTGGGTACTGACCAAAGAGAACAAAGTTGTTGTCTTCGAGAATCGGAATCTTGCCGAAGGGATGTTTTTTGAGATGCGACTCGGTCTTTTGTTCCATTAGTTTGTGTGAAGTCGAACATCGTGTTCACTTACCTTGTGTTCTCCAGCGGCAATGTTTGGAGCATGCAGCGTAAAGTCACTCACTCCCTTCTCAGCAAGGACAAGAAGCGGGCGAAGTGTGCAGACTGAGTGCGAAATGCCAACAAGGGTGAACGGCATGGTGAAAATCCAAAGCGATATTTATCGAGTAGGGATCTTTCTAGAGTGTGACATCCTCAGAGGGAGGCGCCACTCTTATATATATGTAGTCTGACTTGTTCATACGTCAGCGATACACAGATACAATTTCCATACTGCACTGCGGATCTGGAGATGATTCATCAGCTGCAGAAGCTCGTTTTGGGATCCAGACCAGAGAAACCAGATGGTGGGCCTCGGTCCGATCATGGAACATCCGCATGTATTTACAAAGTTGCTAACTAATCTGTACAATTTGCATCCGCAGTGAGAAAGACGGTAGTCGCTCTTTCTTTGAGCGGGGCAATTGCGGCTACAAAATATATCCGCACCGGAAAAGCATCCATTGTGAAACAGCAAAGACTGCTATTCTACGGGTTCTAGACGCCGTACGGAGTCTTAGTGCGAGGGTAGCCAGCCGGAGTCAACATTGGCATCGGTGGAAAAAGAACTTCCATAATTCATTGGACATAATTCTACTTACATTGCATCCACATGAATGAGATGTTCTGTATGCTGCAGCTCCTTAGATTACTAACAAGACTGATCTTGCAGTAGTAGCTCGTCAATGAACTAGGATGCGCGGATCTTGTCGGCGCGATTGTATGAGTATCACTACCCGAAACTGGCAAACAGTTCGCGATGGCTTTGATGCGATTGCCTGGTTCACGGTCTTTACTGTCGTAATATGGGAATATGCTCAGAAGTGGAGATACGAAAAGCGATTTGTAATACACTTCATTCTTCCTACTTAATGACTGAAGCGTTGAAGGCGATTGCAATCTTCGCAACTAATCTGACATTTCTCAATTCATAAACATGAACCCATGGGTATGAGATCTCAGAAATTCTGGCACTAATTCACCATACGACTCATCTGGTCCACTTGGCTCGAGGATATCATGAAATACCTCGCGCGCCTTATCACGCAAGGATGGCATATTGCTCAACAGTCCTTGCGCGATCGGCAACCAGTCGACAACTTGAGTAAGCCTGAGCTTTATTGACTAGATTACCACTGACGTTAGCTGATTACCAACCTTGGGAGTTGATGGCCTTCTGGCTTACCTCGAGTGATTGTCCAAACATCGTGACTTGCTCGCCGCTCTGGGCAGCGATAACTGCGCAAGTCGCTAAGCTGCAAAACCTCCTACATCCGTCGATAAGTCTTTGCGCATCGCAACCAGCCTTCTGGAACTGCTCTATGAATTGGACAAAGTTGTGGATCAACTGCACATCAGCCTCAGCATAAATTGATGCTGGACGTACTAGAGTCTCGGATAGCAAGACCAAGACAGCGGAGAGGGGATAGCACAGTATTTGCCTTTATGTAGTTTCAGCTTCAGGCGCTCACGCAGATTATCAGTGATGAATCATGGCAAACATACCAGAGATGTGTGAATGGCTGCTGCGGACGCAAGCGAAACAGCACATCAAGTGTTTTACGAGCTGCCATGGCGCACTCCATCCAAGGCATTCTGCTGTTGAATACGGAACTCTCCGGTGAGGACAGTTGGTCTTCTCGTAAGGCGGAGTTGCATGTTTCCAGGTCAACCAGAAGAGCGATCGTGGTGCTGACCCTGCTTTTACAACTAAAATAGATAAAGTGTAGGAGAGCAACTGGGACTTCGAGGAGCGGCGTCCCATACATTCCGTCACAGACTTGCTTATCTGTGGGCAATGCATCTTTCCAAGATTCGAGATCGTTGTCGATTTCTTGTAGAAGTCTCAGCAGACCAAAGCTTTCCTGCTTGCCCACTTTATGTAGTAGTTCGTGTATTCGCAGCTGTTTGATAGCAAGCGTTGCTCGCTCTCGCAGAAGGGTAATCTGATCTAGCCTTTCAGGGCTCGTGGAATGGTATGGTTCGTCTCTAGAAAATTCCACAGGTATTTCCACTGCACCAAGAGGCGAGGGCAAGTCACATCTATGCGTCATCTCCGCATTGATGATATATATCACCCAAAAGATTCGTTTGCTTCTGTATGCTTCAACGTTGTTGAGACCGGCGTAGTATTCCGTCGTGTGCATGCCGAGTATATGAGCCACGCGGGCTGCAGTAGCTGTTATCTGTCCAGCGACGCGGGTGTCAGCTGAACGCAGCATGAACAAAGCCATGGCAAGCAGCGCTTCACAACACACTATTGAAGGTTCTCGAACTGCGATTTCGGCATAGATTGCAAATGCATTCTTGAAAAACCCCCATGCCGTTGATGAGAGTGCCGTAAGAGACCCATTGTCTATCCTCTGAAGTGCCGATACCCCAAGGAGTGAGCACACAGTCGCCCATCGGCATGGGTCACTGCGGTAATCACCTGCGCCTGCAATATATTGTTCATTGGCCCGGTCCATAATATCTTCTCTAGCAAGGAAGATGCCATGGACCTGGATCGCTTCGTTCACTGAACGCAGCACATCTATTGCGAGATGTTTCGGAGGAAGCTGTGCATATATTCTACTCTCATAGTAGCCCCGACTCACTTGTGACTGCAGATGTTCCATCGTTCTGCTAATATCAGCGGCGAAGACCGTGAACCTTCTAGCAGCGGTAGGCAAGGTTCGTGTTGTCTCGCTGTCAGTCCAAGGACTCCAGGTCGAATCAGCGATCTGGTCGAGTCTGGCAGTTGTATCGTCTATGTGAGATCCTTTCAGATACGTATACCCGTACAATGAAGTGGTACTGATATGCTTACCTCCTTCAGAGACCACAGCTTTCTTGCCACTTTGCACTCGATCATAACCTCTTGATTCGCGAATCGCGTCATGCGGTGTATCATCTTGTTGTGAAAATAGATGATCTTGTTTTTGTTGCAGCACAACAGGCGCATCGTCCTTCTTGCTGGAAGGTATGATTGAGCTCATCCCTCTACTTTTGCCAAGGAGAAGACTTACGCCTTTCCACGACCCCGTCGCCGTCGCATTGTGTATACGCAATTCCGTCTGTGCTTTACGCAATGGCTACAATATGGCTGTGCTCCATTGCAGCGTCTCTTTCTCTGCTGACATTCCAGGCATGCCTACAATGTGTTAGCGTATTGTATGGTATGCCTTTCAGCAGAACAGACGAGGGTACTTACATTGATGGTTCGTTTGCCTTTGAGCATGTCTGCAGACCTGTCGGTGTACGCGTATCGTTATGACGTTCTATCAGTTATGTACAAGATGACAGGGAACTGCGGAGCGAGGATTGGTGATGATGTTTGCGGAGTCTTGTCAGATGCCGAAACACTATGCTACACCGAACACCATGTAATCTGGCAAATGCGGTCTTGCGCGACCGATTGAGAACCATCCAGAATGTATGCTCCGTTCGAGGCCAGTGGTACAAACCAGTCTTCGGCGTTTACGAGAAGCTAAGTCCCGATCTATTTGTCTTCACCTCCGCACCGGAGGGCAGGCTTGACTGTATTCGGTATAGCGTGCGGATACAATTTGTATCCGCACGCTATGGCTGTGCTGCGGAGACGATTTGTATCCGCAGCACAGCTATCGAAAAGGAACAGTTCTTCTTATTAAGCAGAATTAGATTGTTGTCAGACTAGTAAGCCTCCTTCTCATAATTCATAGCGCCTGTGTTTCCGATCTCATAATGCGGACAAATCCCGGATGTTACCAATGGT